TTGACAGTGACTTTTCCACAAATATATATTGAATAATTATATATTCCTTTGTTAATAATAAATTGAATGTGTATTAATTTAGGGATGTTCTATTTTATCTGTTTAGGCCTATTTTTCTGTTATTCCAGTCAGCAGGTCATTTTGAGAACTGATCTTTATCAAAGCACTTTACTAGCTGGTGAGGCTAACTTTCTCCAATATTACTTATTTAAAAATCTACTTAATTCATTTTTATTTTAGTTGTCATTTTGTCAATTTCTATAAAGCAATCCCTGTGATTGTAAATGGTATTGCTTAAATCTATAAATTAATTTTGCACATTATTGAAATCTTACTTCAGCTCTCTGTTAACCAGGAAAGTGTATCTTTCCAATTTCCATCAAAAGTTACATAATAACAGTATAACAGAGAGGTTAGGACTTATTTGAGTTATAGATCAAGGCTACCCTTCCCAGCACTCATACCAGTTTCTAATAATTAAATCAAGGCCCAAAAATTGATCTAAGAATCCATGTACAATTGGTGGAATAATCAAAATTACAATCGAGCCTATATCATGCTATAGTTTTTCTATTAAACCACTTACTCAAGCCTTTACTTATTGCCTTTAAAGTTTCAAAACTATGTCTTGCAGATATTTATTTGTTATGCTATAGTTGGTTAGTTTCTAAGGATTTTCTAAACCATGGAAGAACCAAAATGAGCAGCGATGTTGGCCTTTGGGCAGGTGCAAGCAGACTAAATTCCTTCGGGAAGGAGGTATGTATTTCACACGGCTCATCTGTTATATCATTTTTTTCTCAAATGATTTTAAGTGTAGAAAATGCAAGTTGGCTTTGAACTAGTCTCCCATTTTGGGGATCACCCATTTTATCTTTTTAGAGATTTTATTATCAATAATGTTTTACTGTGCTTATAGTTTACAGAGAAGTATGTTAGATACACAAGAATACCAAAGTTACAAAACTTTGTCTTTCTTGAAGATTTGCATAGTCAAACTCAAGATTATCAGCTACATAATATATCAGTTTTATGAAACAGAAAATCCAAATCACAGCAGGGTAAAGACTATGGATTTGCCCAGAGGTGGGCAATCTGAGTCCCATGTACTAGCTCGCCAGAGTCACTGCAATCCCGGACCCCTTCCTGTGTTCTATTAACATCAGTGGGTGAGTCTCGTCATTCTGCAGGCCAGAAGATTCCCAGTGCTCCAGTCATCACGACTAATTTAAAGCCAGGAAAGAAGGGAAAAGCAAAACTTTGTCAGCTCCTCTTTAGTTTCCCTAGCAGCTTTTCAGTGATTTCTGCTTCTATTATTTGCCAGAATTATAACACATGCCCATGAAAGGAGCTGCTGGGTATAACATGTTAGCTAGGGACACTGTTGCACTCAATAAAATCAGAGATGTTTGTAACTAAGGAGAGAAGAATCTATTGCCAGGCAACTGGAAGTCTGTACTATCCTAGGATGTGAAGCAATAGTGTTGTGTTCAGGAGCAGGCTAGAGGGCCAAGACTGTGAGATTAGCACATGCTCCTTCTTGACAGGTAAATTGGATTAGAATAATGGTGGTGGGCAGAGGAGCATTTCAAACCTGGGAGGGCCCGAGCAAAGACAGAGCAAGAGTCCCCCTTGCAGGTTTAAATGAGAATGGTGGGGGTTTCCATCTGTATTTGGAATGGCTTTCTGGGAGTGTGGGAATATACAGGAATCCAGGGATACATTGGTCATTAACCATTTACCAATTCTAGTGTTTCTCAATAAGTCTTCATGAAAATGAGTAACCTTTATTAAAACTGTTAGGTCTGAGAAGGGGAGGATGGGGGGGGGAAGGAGGAATGGAAGGAAGGAGAGGAGTGGAGTGGACTGCCGTGAAAGGAGTGGGCGGCGGTGGCTGCAAAGATAAGAAGTATAAAATATAAGTAACCTTTATTTCGGGAATGCGGGGAGAGGACCCCCCCGGCCCCCGGGGCGCAGCATCTCCACCCCGGGGCCGGCGGTCTCTCTCACACACTCACACACACACACACACACTCTAACACGTGGAGTGAGGCCCATAAGTAGCCTCTGTCTGGGATGGACCCTAAGGGGTATTAGGTATTCACAGGTAGCCCATTGGCACACGTTTGGCGCCAGAGGCAGGTTCTTAGGGATGGGGGTATAGGGTTACAGGTAAATCTCTAAGGGGTGGGGGAGGCAGGAGCTCCTTAATTTGGCTGAGGCTTCTCCTGGTTAAAGTGTCCGGTCTGGGCCAGCAACTCTTTCAAAAACCAACTGTGCGTCAGAGGATTTCGTAGGTGTTTTAGTACGGATCATCTGTGATCTGTGCAAGGACCCCAATGAGAGATAAAGATGCTAAAGCTGGAACGGTTTGCATATTTGACCAAGGCCATGGGACTTTGAAACCTATGCTGTAAATATGCAGACATTCCCCACAATGTCATAATGTTAAACTTATTTTTTTTCATTTCTTAAATTGTTGGGATTAGGAATTAAAATGGGTGAGTTAACTGTCTCCAATTCTTCAATATTTTATTAATTCTAAACTTTAGAGGAGCTTTACAAAGTCTTCAACTAAATAGCAGTGTGATCCTGGGCAAAATACTTAGCCTCTCTGTTTTTGAATTGTTGCTGTATTATTGAGATACAAATCCAGATAGACACTGCAAGAAAAGAATACTGGAGACCAATACTCCTCAGGAGCAAGGATTTAAACATTCTAAAAATTTAAACTCACGAAAAATTTAAACTCATGGAGGAATACTAAGTTGTTTTAACATTTAAAATTCAATCAACAAACTAAAAACAAAAAGTCTGATTCTACAACAGCTGCAGAAAAGCAAGTGATGAAAATTTAACATCACTTCCTGATTAAAAACTCTCAGTACATTACAGACGATAGGAATTTCCTCAAATCTGATTGGGTAACCTTGAAAACTCACAGCTACTTTGAAACTTAGCTGTGAAAGTTGATTGATTTACCTCTAAGGTCAACACAACACAAGGATAGTCACTGTGACCAGGTGAATTAATTTAAGAAAAAAAAAGTATTTGCTTTAAAAGTGAGCTAGTAAAACTCTTTACAAATGGCCACGATTGTACCTACAGAAAATTCATAAGATGTTACTAGAATGAACTTGGCAAGATTGTGGAATACAAGACAAATATACAAAAATCCACATATTAAAATTAATAAAACTGTAAAAGGGCTAGAGTTGCTGTTTGATGGTAGTGCTTGCCTAGCATGAGTGAGACCAGCACACCAATCAAAACCAATCAACACAACAATAAAACAATGTGACAGCATCAACAAGTATGCTTCAGGGTCATTCTGTCAAGATATGTATAACATCTATGCATTGAAAACTCCAAAATCCTGCTGAGGACAGGTAAAGAAGACCAATAGAAATCAAGAGGTGTATCTTACTCGGGGATCTATAGTCATCAATATCAAGATGGGCATGATATTAATTCTCTCCAAATTTATGTGCCATGAAATCCCATCAAAGTTCAAACAAGTTTGTAGTAATTAAGACACTAAAACTAAAATGTATGTTGAAATATTTTTTAAAAACCCTAAAATAGTCAAAACAGCTTTGAAAAAGAACAGAATTTCAGTATTCATACCACTTTTTTTCAAGTCCAGTGCTTAGGACATTGTAGTCATAATGTAAAAAATGGATGAATTGATGAACAGGACAGAATAGAAAGTCCAGAAATAGATTCCAGAGTTGACAAAGTGACTTTCGACAAAAAGTCTAAAGCAATTTAGTGGAGGGTGGTCCTTTCAGCATAGGATGCTGAAACAGTTGGACACTGATGTTAAAAACAAAAAAGACGTCATTTACAAAAGTTAAGTCAAAATGAGTAAATGTGCAAAATCTAAAACTATAACACTTTCAAAACAAACCACAGAAAGTCCTTATGATTTTAGATTAGGGAAAGAAATATGATACCACAAAGTTTAAGCCATAAAAATTTGAAAATTTGATTTCATCAAAATTAAAAACTCACTCTTCTTAAGACTGCATGAGTAGATAAAAAAGACAAGCCACGTAATGGGAGCAGGGGAGTTTTGTGAAGCAAATACTTGATAAAGATTTGTATCCAGAACATATAAGAATATTCAAAATTCAATAATAATCACTTAATAATAAATAGGCAATAAAGTTAAACAGACACTTCACCAAAGAAAACGTATTTGCTTCAGATATGCACACAGAAAGGCTCCTTAATTATTGGCCGTAGGAGACTGTAAAATAACAACACATGAGATACCAAAAGGCCTGGACATTCAAGCGTTGACAAGGATGAAGAGGAAATGTAACTGATGCATTGCTGATCATTGCAATATGCAACTGACATTGCCATTTCCAGGTATATCCAAGAGAAAAGACTGCATCTATCCACACAAAGATTTGTACAGGAATATTCCTGGAGGCTTCAGTTTTAATAAGGAAAAATTGGAAGCATTTGTTGAGTAGAGAAACTAGTTTGGTACGTGCATAAATGGAATACTACTCAGCACTGAGGAGGGATAAACACTTGCTACATAAAAAAATTCATGCCGGCATGTCAAAATAATTATGCCAAGTGGAAGAAACCAGACAAAATAAATACAAATTTATGATTTGTATGATTCCATTCACATACAACTCTGGAAAACACAAACCAACTGAAACAGACCAACACAGGCTGAGCAGCAGCTTGGTACCCTGTGTCCTGAGGTCCAGCCTGGGTGTGTGTGTGGGTGCACATTTGGGGAAAGGAAGGCAGGGAATGTCAGGAGCCAGAGGACAGGTTAGGGGGTACACTAAGCAGGGGTTGGTGGTGAAGGCAGGAAGGCAGTGAGTGAGGGAGGGAATAGGAGAAGAAGATGTGGAGGCAGGAAAGAGATGCAAAGGCTAGGGGTGGTGGAGGGGTGAGGAAGGGGAAGGGCGGGGCCTGCGCTGCGGAAGGAGGGTGGGCGGGGCCTGCGCTGTGAGGCGGGGCCTGCGCTGCGGGGCGGGGCCTGCGCTGCGGGGCGGGGCTAGCTCCGCTGCGCAATGGCGAGCCTCCTACGCTCGCTTCTGCTCAGGCTCTTCCGTGGGTCGCCGAGGCAGGTCATGCGGGGCAGCGCGGGGTCGGGATGCGGGGACGCAGGTAGGACTCAGCCTCGCGGGCTAGGCCGCCACCTCCGGGGTCTCGTTTTGCTTCCGCGGCCACCCGAGCTTCCCCTGCATCTGCTGGCGCCCACTGGTCTGGCGCGCGAGGACTGGGACGGGTGGGCGGGGGCGGGGCCACTGGGAACCCCAAGAAAGGCCCGCGCTCTCGGCCGACGTGCGCACGGCTCTTTTCAGTGATTTGCTTTTTGAGTCAACGTGAATCGGCCGAACTAGGGGGCCCTCGCTTCCGCCTGTGCGCCCTGAGCAGTGGGCGGTGCGGACTCGGTTCTGAGTCGATCCGGGCCGGGACTCTTCCCGTGGGCGCCTCATTTGTTGACGCTTAAAAGCGGCAGTCTCTGCTAGTGGCGGTGACACAGGCCGGAGAAAGTGCGTGTGCGTGCGTGCGTGTGTGTATGTGCGTTTTGCCAGGTGCCCTTTGCCCCCTGTGTCCGGATTGGGCATATTTACATAGCACCAACTAGAAAGGAGACGCCTATGCAGCTAACACTGTATTTCACAATAATTTAGCGCCCCGGTATATTGACGTTCTGGGGAGTGCCTAACGGCCTGCTTCTGATTCCAATTGCATAAGTGTCCACTGACATTGAGAGACTACTTTCCCGAAGGCTACAGTCCGACCGCTTTTCATCCCTTAACATTTTCAAAATGTAATGCTAAGTACAACTGGGCTTCCTTTTGTGGCTTTCCTGGCTGGTATTCGTTGCAAGCCTGCCTATGCTAAGCATTATTTGGCAGATGAGAGATACAGCCCAGCTCTGGGCAGGAGCTATCCTCAGCCCCCACGGCAGGATAGAGATTGTAGCGGGAACTTAAGACTTGTACTTGGTGCTGTCAGAAGTAACCTAATAAATTGCCCCTGGAGCTGAAGTTTTTCAGCCACATTAAAATTTGGCCAGACACCAATACATCCAAGAGTTGTGTAACTTATCAGAATAAACTCTTGGGAATTTATTCTAAAGAAATAATTCAAAGGAAAAACAAAACTATATGGCTAAGACATTTTTAAGAGCCTTACTCTTAGGAATCGGAAATTGGCTTCAACCCAGATCAGTTAGGGAAGAGCTGAGTAAATCATGGAAGTTCAATTTAAGAAACTCTTCGAGGCGCATTTAAAATGATAAGCAGATAATACTAACATGGTTAATGGCTTGGTTGTCGATGTACCCAAATTTGAGTCTTGGCTCCTTGTCACTGGCTCAGTTCTGAGTTTGGGCTGCTAAAATAAAATACCATAGACTGAGTGATTTAAACAGCAGACGTTTATTTAACACAGTCCTGGAAGCTGAGATATCCTAGATCAAGATGGCGATGTATTGGGTGCCTGTTAAGGACCCCTTGCTGCCAGTTCATGTAACCTTCCCCATAGCCTAAGTACATGGAGAAAGCAAGGTGAGGAGGACATTAATCCTAATTTGAAAATCCCAATATGAGAACTGTCACGGACTGATCAGGCCCACAATCTCCCAAACCAGTGAACAGCGAAGTCATAAATAAGAGACAAGTGGTATGATTTTAGGGTTCTAGGAGAATCAAAATCCTGTAGCAGAATGCGAGATTCTGTGGGGGCTGAGACCCAGAACTTTGCTGGGTGGCCATATTTATAAGTTTTCAAACAAAGGAAGAGAAATACTGAGAAAAGTGCAGAAACTGAGCAGGATCTTGGGAGTCAGAAAAAATACTTCCCCGAGTAATAAATTATGTTAATTAGGAGAACTATCTTATCTCTAGGTCGACATTGAGATGCCTGCAGTTACAGGCTCTATTTAGTTAATTGGGTAGGAGGCAAGTGTCCTTAGCTGTGGCCTTGTCTTGTCCTTTGAGGCATCCCTGGCATCACAGGCCACTGCAGGCCTCAGCCAGGACTTCAGTGAAGTTCACTTACTATGAATCTGCTGCCCGTCTCCAGACAAGAGGCCTAGGCCTGGGACAGACTCTCAGGTAAACCTAGAACGCCAATTGGTTAATTTCAAATCCTGCTCAGAGCTGCTCTGTAGTGGTCTCCATTGGATTTTAAATAAAAAGTCACAGACAGATCAAAAGTGAAAGGGTGGAAAAAGATAAACTATGCTTATAAAAAGGAAGCTACATTTCAGACAGAAAAGAATTCAGGGCAAGGAGAGTTATCAGTGATAAAGAGGGGCATGATGTAATGATAAAGGAATTAGTTCTTCAAGAAGATGCAATGAGATTTAAAGCAGCCTAATGACAGAGCATGAACTATGGGAAGCAAAGACTGATAAACTTGCAAAGAGAAAAAGGTGAACCCACTATCATAGTTAGAGACTTTGGTACCATCTTGTCAGAAATAGATTCCGCAGTAAAAAAATTAGTAATAGTATAGTTTAACTCCACCTCCATCAACTAGCTGGTTATAACTGACCTCTGTAGAGTACTCATGCAGAGGGACCTGCAGACGTGTAGGAGTTAGGAAAGGAAAGCAGTATGAAGGTGAGGGATCAGGACATGGAAGTGCCAAGACAAGCGAAACCATGCCAGAACTCTTGAAGATCAGCTCAGAATAACTGAGATGCAGCAGAAGAGGGGATTGAAATTGGCAACCATGACTGAGGTACAAAGGGCACTGGAAATCACTTGAAGTTTGGCACTGACCTTTGGTATACTAGGTTTCACTGAACAGTTTTGGGCCATGAGGAAAAAAAAAATCAAGTGGTCAGGACAGGAGGAAGGCATACGTGTCAGGACACTTGTAACAATCTGTGCTGGCAGTATGGATGGTTTGAGAAGAGTGAGAATGAGCAGGTCCTGAAGGTATCTAGAAAGTTGAACCAACAGGATATAGTGCAGAGAAAAGAGTTGTGTGGTTGGTGGTCTGGATTTCTGGCTTGAAACTTGGTGAGCTAGAGCACATAGAAGAGCAGGGCTGTGGGGTCCAGCTCAATAGTAGTGTTCTTGTCTAGGGTGCATGAGGCCCTGCGTTTGTTCCTACGCAGCCCTGCTCCCTGCCAAAAAAATCAGGTTTATAGCTTGGGAAGGGATGATTATGCAGTTCTGTGTGTATTTGGGATGGGACATTCAAGTGGAAATACCCAGATGGTGATTCTACATGGGTCTGGAGTAGCAGAGAGATCTAGAACAGAAGGAAAAATAGATTTGGGAGTCCTCATCATGTGCTGGAAGTTTAAGTTACTAAGTAGAGCGGAGCTTACGTGAGTAGCGTAAGACTGAGTGGATAGTCTTCTCCCTCTGAGAGACTCAGCCTGTCTAGATGCGGATGGGAAGGAAGAACAGTCCCTGGCCCCTAGTCCTTAGAGAGGCAAAAGGAGGTGTGATCCAGGAAAACAGCAGCACATGAACAGAAGCGACTGGTCACTCACTTCATGGCAACAGGATAGAAGGAAAGATGAGTGTAGGTGTAACTGTCTGGTGCTTGGGTAGCAAAAAAGTGAGACGTGTCTGGGTGATGGGTTTTGATGCCTCCCAAGTGGAGTCATCAGGTGATGGTATGGTAGAAGGTGGCGGGAACTGTAGTTTAGGGAGAACAGAACAGGGTTTGCAAACTATGGAGAAAAGAGAGCCAGATAAGGACATTGTTCGTTGAGACCCTGGTGAGTTTAGTCAATAAATTTATAATTTTCTTTCACCCAAAGATTTTAGAATCCCCTGATGATTCTTGCCTGAATCGGTTATTATTTTGGTGCTTGCAAATGTGGTGATTTTTAAAATTCTGTCATTTCTTGCTCCATTTATTATTTGGCTACCTACATGATAAGTGAAAATCACTGGGAAACTGTAATTGTCATACAGATGTGTTTTACTTTGCTCCCAAGGGGTGAGTGCCTGAAAAGAAAGTGTGTCGCCTGAGGTATGTTTTCATAGGAAAATTTCAGAAGTATGTTTTTATAGTATAAGAAAAAATTCCTGTAGCTTATAAAACAAATATATTTTTAAAAATTTGTAATATATTTAGGTTTTTAAAAAAGTATAAATGAGCATAAGCAATCAATACTATACAATCCTAAAAATACATTGTTGTGCAGTTTTATAAGCTGATGGTAAAGAAAAAGTCTTTTCTTGCTAAAGGATTATTTAGGACTATTTTTGTGACTAAAAGTGAATTTCTTTTTTTTTTTTTTAAGCCAGTCAAATTTAGCAGTGGGGGGGGTGGTAAAAGTGAATTTCAAAAATAAATTTATGACATGTTTGATGTACAGGGCCCCACAGGACAAGTGTTTTTTGTTTGGAGACTGGCGATGAACACAGGGCCTCATACATGGGAAACACGTGCTCTGCCACTGAGCTGCAGCCCTGGCCTCTGTCACAGTTGTTTAGCATTTTATCTTCAGCACTGCGGGCAGGTTCCTAACCCATCAAGCCTCTCTGTTTTCATTTATAAATTGAAGAGTCAGAGAGATTATAGAATCCTTTCTTATTCCTAGCATTGAATGACTAGTGTATTGTTGTCATTATTTTGTTTATACTCACCCACATAAAAGAAATGAGACAGAAGCCAAAGGAAGTGGGAGAAAGAAAAACACAAAATGGACAACATCCACAAAGCCTAGTAGATTATAGTAGGTCTCAGTTTCCCTTTCATAGGTAGATAGGATAGGAGTCCCTATACCAGAAGGATTTTTTTAATGAAGATCTCCCTTGGCAAACAGAATGAGAGATAGCTTTATAAACCAGCAAGCGAGAGGAGTTTAATAACTCCCTCGCTCAGGGTTCTTTTCTATCCAGTCCCCCCAGTGCTCCCAGCTGTGTCGTGGCAGGAATGCATCTCCAAAAGAAGGAATGGAGGAGAGGATCACTTTCCCCCCTCAGCTATCTAAGAATATATTCTGCATTATTACACACTTTAGCTGCCTCTTTCACTTCAGTGCCCCAGGAGAACTAGAAAACTAGCTCCCTACTTATTATGGTTTCTTATTAAATAGTCAAAGCATTTTGTGCCTGAGCCTTCTTGTTCCTGCAAAGAATGAAGTGTGGCAGAGAGAAGCTATGGGAGTATTCTGCCGGGAGATGGTGCACTTGGGAGAAAGGCCAGGGAAGAAGAGTTCACTGTACCTTATTATTTTAATAACACAAACTTCCTATTTAACAATACAGAATCTCTTACGAAGGATGAGCGGACTCTCACCAAGGCTGAGTGGCAGAAAAAACTGACACCAGAGCAGTTCTATGTCACAAGAGAAAAAGGAACTGAACCGGTGAGCTGAGCCTGTTGATGGGAGTGAAGGATTAGAGTAGCTCATAGATGGACATCCGTTCCGCAGATCTGGTTCTCTTCCATTCAGGTGCAGAAACCCTGATCTGTCCGTGGACATATCACCTTCTATCCTCTTTTGCCTCTTTTGTCTAGTCTATATCCCAAATAAACTTCCAGGCTTTTCACTGCCGAGCCTGGACTCCTCATTTCTTAGTCTCTGACTGTGCAGCTTCTAACTTTTCTACCACAGCATTTCTCGTTCCTTGCCCAGTGTCCTGGTTTATAGCTAGATGTCCCAATGCCTCACGCACTCACTGATGGGGGTTTGGGGAGATGATTGGATCTTGGGGGCAGGATAATCATCAGTGGCTTGGTCCACGATGAGCGTGTAGCTGACTTGCTGTTAGGAGGTGAGATGGTCTTAGAGGTGGGTCACTGCGGGTGTGACTTGGAAGGGTTTGTCTCTGCCTTGTTCCTCCCTTCTCTCTCTCACTCTCTCCATGCCACAAGCAGCTCTCTTCCATCCAGGCCCATGCTAGCTGACGATAGACTGAAATCTTCACACACCATGAGCTGAAATAAACGTTCCCTCCTTTAACTGTGGATGTTGGGAATTGTGTCTCTGCAAGGAGGAAGTAACTAAGACACTGGCTAAAGTCTTTTAACACAAAGCTGACCATACCACTTAAATCTCAGTGCTTTCCTGCTGCTGTTGAGGAAAGAAAATATTAAATGGCTAATCAGTTACTAATGATGCTGCCCCAGATGCTTGCGGTCTCCATAGACATGTCCCTTCTTGTATCTCTGGGAAGAGGGACTCACTCTTTGGTCCTTTGGTTACTCATTTAGTTTAAGCAGCAAGAAAATCTCAAATCTAACCAGTTTCCTCCGGGTCTCTGCACTGTAACTTCCTTTCAGCTCTTGAACGTCCTGGGCTTCTTTTCTGTGGAAGCCCCTTGTACCCTGGTTTTTCCTCTTGCCCATCACTCCTCGCCCTCATTAATTTAGACTAACATTTAACTCATTTCCTTAGGGGCCCTTTTTCTTAGTTCCAAGTGAGATTCACTTTTCCCAGTGCTTTCCCATCAAGCATTTGCCATTGTTGTCACTGGGACCTGGCTGTAACAGGTACTCACAAAGTCAATTTTTTTGAATATTGATTGATTGTTTAGAGTCAGAAACAGTTACTTAAACTGTACTCACTAATCTTAGGTATCATCCCCTTCCTGTGAGAACAACCTCAGTGGGTCCACATCATAACACCGTTGTTTATAGTACTTCTATTTCTATCAAGTGGTCACTCTTAGAGCCAAATATAGCTGCCACAATTTAGCTGTTCAACTCTGTGAGTAGATATTTGTATTTGTGAAGCAGTCCAACAGACCACAGTACTGTGGTTTCACAAGGTTGTAGAATATGTCTGTTTTTATCTGCAAAATTCAGGGAATAGTCCATATGCACGTGATCTTAGAATAATGATCACATCTGCAGACTCCAGTGCCAGACAGACCAGCAGAGCCCAGTGGATTCTCATGAAGTGCTAGTCTTTTATTCCAGCTTCCTGTGACTGGGATTTGTTTCAGTGAGGCTTTCATCAGAAAGAAGACCACATTTGCCATTTCTGTAGAGGGCGCATGGGAGCCACATATGATGCCCAGTTGTGTGTCTGTGTGGAATGACCTAAGCCTGCTGTAATTCTCTGATGCAGTACCAGACAGGGCTTGGTAGATACTCAGAGCTTGGAAATGCCCCACCAGATGTTTAGGAGAATGAATCTGTGGGTTGTGAAACAGATGCTACCGTATATGCATTGCATGTGGCTATGTCACAAAATGAGTGTCATCCATTATTTTAACTAATGTTATAAATCCCTTTCATTTGCTCCATTTCTACATTTGACTTTTTAAAAACACTGCAAAACTAGGGGCTGGGAATTTAGCTCAGCGGCATAAGCACCTGCCTTGCAAGCAGGCAGTCGTGAGTTTGATCCCTGGTACCGATAAAAACAAAAAAGACAAAAAAAAAAAAAACCCAAAAAAACCCCTGCAAAACTGCAAGCCTTAGCTTCTTTAGGCCAAGGGAAGAGAAATAAGACATCAAAGCCTTGTAATAGGTGACCCCCATTGAGAAGTTAGTCACCTGTGTTTTTTTGATTGGACAGTTGTAACATGCTGGCACTCTGCTAGCAACCAGTGAAGGAGTCCACAGCCTGGCTGAGCATAGCTAAAAGGCGAGTAGCAGCAGAGGGAGGTTTTGTGCAGATCCTGTAGATCCTTCCCCCTTGCGGGCTCCGTAGGCATGTCCCTGCTTGTATCTCTGGGAAGAGGGACTCACTCTTTGGTCCTTTGGTTACTCATTTAGTTTAAGCAGCAAGAAAAACCACTGAGGTCAGAGGGCAAGACAGAGGTATCAGCTGGGGTCTAGGGTCCCCTATGAGGAAAACTGGCTGGCAGTGGCTGTGTTCTTCTGCTGCAGGTGGCAGCTCCTGCGGGCTGCCCACGGCCACCACCTCCACACAGTCTGGCAACTGCCCCCCACTTTGTCCCACAGGCCTAGCGGCGGTGTTCTTGCATCACTAGTCCAGGTGACATGGCATCTCTTCTTGATTGGTTGTTTTCATGGGCCCTGTCCCCACCTTTGTGAATAGTCACATAGGAAATTATCTGCAGTCATCCCTTCTTTAGTGTTTTCTCTGCTTCCAGCAGACATGTTGTGTTGTTGACAAGATCAGAGAAGGAGCTGGCAGACAGACTTTGAAATCCCAGGGGCCATCTTGGACTTCATTTCATCCCTGAGCCTGCATGGCCAGTTATTTCAATTCCCTCTTCTAAATCATTCTTCAGTCTCTCCTCTCCAGTTTTAGCCAGAGCAGGATTAACGTCCTTGTCTGCGTGAGTACCAACCACCTGATTGTTCTTTGCCTCTGGTGTCTTTTACCCCTGCTCCATTCCATTCTTGACTTGATGTCAAATGACCTTTCTAAAAGCCAGCTCCGATCATGTGCACACACGGTGTACACATGTCCAGTGGGTGCTGTGTCCATAGTGTCCAAGAGGTCTGCTCGTAGCTCAGCCTTATCTGGCCTCTCCTGTCTGCATAGCATCTTCCCTATCTTGTCTGGGCTGCTCTGCCCACTGTTCTGAAACATCCTGATTTCTTTTCATTTGATCAACTCTCACTCGTCCTTCAAAATTCGGCTTAGAGCTTTGGCATTTTTCTACAATAAACACCAATAAGCTGTATGATGTCATAATAAAAGGTTAAAAAACTCAATTCAGATAATATCTAGTGCTGCAGAGCTTCATGGAGACTCTGCCCATGGGGAAAGGTCTGAAGGTGCCCCTCTGTCATAGCTGCTATCATGCCATGTAAGTGCCCATTCTCATATCTCTTCCCACCTAGGCAGCAGATTCTGTGAGCACAGGAACTGTGGGTTTAAATTATTTTTCCCCATCTGCAGCATTAGCACCCAGGTCCGCACTATAAAGACTAGAATGAGCTTAGTTACAGAGAGCTCATCTGCTTACTTGAGTTCCTGGTTTGATCTACAACTCTGCACATAAACAGCTACTAGAGTGAACAAGTGAGATAGGAGTTGAGGAACAGGAAAAAGGATATCAGGAAGCAATGGGTAGATGTCACTCAAAATATTGGCCAAGAATTCCTTTTTATTTGAATTTTTAACTTTTATTTTATTTACTGTGCCTTGCAGTTCCCTGTCACTTGTGCCCATCTGTCCCCCTGCGATGATGAAACTAGATTTTTGAATCTTACCTTGCTTCCTGGTCCCCATCAGTAGGCTTTTCTAGATCGGCCTTGGGACATGCAGTCCTTTGGGGAGTAGGTTCCATTGGCCAGGGCGAGGGATGTCAAACATCCTTTTGGTCACAGATGCTGTTCAGCACCACCATTGGGAAGAAGCATTCAAGGGCTAAGCCAGGACAGACAAACACATTTCCTGAGAATTTGTGCAGCTAAGTGTAGAGTTTTGGAAGCGGAAAAATCCCCAAGTGGTCCCATCTAGCCTAGGTTCATTTGAAAGTGCCCATTATGCAGCTTGTTGCAACTGTGTTGCTAGCGCCACTGCAAGGAACTTGGAGGTTTGACCAGAGAGTTTTTTAGGTTGGAAAATGTGGAGAGGAAGGAAGGGTCCCGAGTTTCTTGAGTGGGCTGTCACCTGGTGAGCTGGTGGATGCTTCCCCTCCTCTTCCCCACGAAATGGTTAACCTTTGCTACCAGGCACTGGGATGGGGACCTTCACAGCATGGGTATGACTTTCTTTTTTAAAAAATTTTCTTTGACAGACAAAATGATAAAAGGAACTGGGCAGAAAGGACCTTAATAAAAGACAGAACCCAATGTGATCCAGTTTGCAGAGTAGCATTTAAGAAGAATCCCTGACTCGGCTTTCATTGCCTCATGGCCCTCTCAGAATACCTTTGAAACTCTGAAAACTCTTGCAGACACCAACAGCATAGCCTTTTAAAATAAGTAGTAAGTTGGGCACGGGGAGAACCTAGCTCTTGATTTAACATTTGCTAAATATGTGCAGTGTCCTCAGCACCATGTGAAGGATGGCAGAGTCGCTGGCCCTGTTCTCATGAACTGTGCTTTCATGTATTTTTATTCTTTCCCCTCTAGGGATAGAGCCCAGAGCCTTAAGAATGGTAGCCAAGCACTCTTTCACTAAGCTACATCCCAACCCCTTTATATTCCATATTTAATTGGAGATTTCAGAGTATTTTAGACAAGTATTTAGGTTTCTGTTGTTTTAACTCTTTTGAAATGGGAGACTGGAGTCTTATTCAGTCACAGAGGATGAGACACAATTCTCTTGCTTTTTCATGGCCTTTGATGTTTTTGGATAAAAGGTGGTATAAAAACACAAAGCATTATTAATGTCACAATTTGAATATTTGACACAATGAAGGCAGGCGGTAAATAAATCTGCAGTCTGCTTCACTGGGGTGACTGTAATTTTTCTCTCTGGTGATAGATATTGTGCTTTGTCATACAAGTACAGAAATTCCTTAATTTGAAGACTTACCTTGGTTGTTTTGTTTGTTTGTGTTTGGTTTTTTGTCATGCTAGGCATGGAACCCAGGCCCTTGCACATGCTAAGAAAGCAGTGTACCACTGAGGTGTTGCCCTTATCTTGGGTTTAAATCTGCTATATTATCTTCTGCTGGTGATATGGGAAACTGGCACATGTTATATCTCAGTGATTTTCAGCCTTTCAGCGGGATCTACCTGAACACCAAGGAGCCTGGAATGTATCACTGTGTGTGTTGTGACAGCCCCCTCTTCAGGTAAGATGAGAAGTCCAGTCCTGAGGAGGAAAAAACTCCTCATTTATACAACTATATCTCATTTGAAGTCTTGAATAAATAAAAAGATTGCACACAAGACCTCAAGCATGCATCTGCTTTACCCCTGAGCTACACCCCCAGTCCCTCCTGTGGTTTTGAATTGCCTTTCTCATTTGGCATTGCTGCAATTGGAAAAGCTGTTCATAAAAGAAACCTGTCTGTCTTGATTTAGTCCTAGCATTTGGAGCAGTTAACAAGACTTCTTAGCTTATATTCTTCCTATATGTCTCCCTGAGAAATAGCAAACAAATAAAGCCTTGCTAGGAATCTTACAATAAAGCTATTAGAATTTTTTAGAGAAAAAAGATTTAAAGAAATCTAAACCTAATAGGATTTGCTTGACCATGTGATTAAAACTATACCTCTCCCAGGGAAAATGGATTTATAATTTAATTTAGGAAATGTAGAATTTTATGAGGAGAGATTCCACACAGTGCTTGACAGTAGTGAATACCTTGCCCTCTTCCATGTAGCTAAAAGTAAATTTAATTGTCCCTTGATTTCAAAGCCTCTTTTAAGTCTGTCAGGATCTAAAATCTCTTAACAAAGGCTTTTTTGTTTAGACATGCAGGAAATAGTCTTTAAAAAAGTAGATTTGATGAAGAAGAGAAGAAACATCTTTGAAGTCCTGTTTTTCAGAACTTCAAAGATGTTTTTCTTTCTTTTGCATCAACCCTAAATTGGTTTGGAATAAAATATAAATCAAGCCAGCTCTGCGAATCCTCCATCAGGCAGTGGTTCATTTTGTCCTTTGGGCTTTGTGCAGACTGGCTCTCCTGACCAGCCGGCTACTAATGGGGACTCATTAGGGAAGCCAGACCCCACCTGCAAGGCCAAGGAGTGATTAGGATTGATTTTCCTTCATGCTCATGGAGTGGCAGGCCTTGGCCCAGACTGCTGGACGCTGTCGGGGACTGGTGAGGAGGCATCAGGGAGGGCAGCCAACCTGGCATGGCATGGGGGGAAAACTAAAAGGAAGTTAATTTGTATGGTGATGCTAGAAAAACAGACTGTTTTTCCCCTGATCTCACATGACAGCAGTCAACAAAGAGACTTCTGTAACTTTAGAGGATGTGGGGATCCCTCCATCTGGCAAGTAAGTAGTGGCTTCTGCAATGGGCAGCTGCTGGGTGTCCTAATCCAGTTCAGTTTGGACATTGCCTACCTGGAGATAGAGAATGTCAGGCCTTGCAGGCTGAGGTCCCAGCCCCACATGTCACCCTGCCACCCATACATATATAGGTGCCCATTGCAAACCCTGGGTTTACACTTGTATGTCTGACCCACTGGCTGTCAATTGGGGTTGCTACACTCCCCTCCTTGGGTGCAGGTAATTTGCTTGAGTAGCTCACAGGATTCAGGGAAACACTTACATTTACTGATTTAAATTCAATTTTACAAGTATTTACTTGTGGGTCTTCCTGTGTTCAGGCTGATCTTGTGCTCACTATGTAGCCCAGGTTATGCCTTGAACTTTCAGTAATCCTCCTGCCTTAGCTTTCTGAGTGCTGGGATTATAGATATACACCACCACACCCAGCCCTTCTTAAATTTTTCTGTTTTATTTTTATTGGTTTATTGTAAAGGATACTATAAAGGCTATTGATAGGAGACAGGAGGCAAAGACAGAACTTTTCATGTCCTCTGTGGAGACCTCTTCCAATTATACTAAACTCTCTGGACCCTGTCCTTTTGAGTTTTTAATGGAAGCTTCATTCTATAACATAGTGATTTAATCATTGGTTATTAGTGATCAATTTAACTGTTAGCCCTCTCCCTTGTGAAGTGGTTGGGGATGAGGCTGAAAGTCTCAACTTTCTACATCTGTCTTGTTTTTTTCTGGTGACATTCCCCACCCTGAAGCTACCTAGTGACTGCCAGCCAGCAGTCAACTCATTAGCATACAAAAGACACTTACCATGCTAAAGATTGCAAGGATTTTAGGTGTTGTATATGCCAGGAAATTGAAGGAATACCAGTTGTGTACTTAACTGTGTGACAGCAATAAATGTGAGGCTCATATTGATACTTCTTACTCCTTGACCTTTCCTTCCATGAAAGGGAAGAAGTAGGACAGTAAGTTGGCCAAATTGCTTTCAGCTGAAGGACCTTTTTGCAGAAGTGTTCCGGTCTAGTCCTCAGACAGATGTTCTGTGTTTGTATTTGGGTGGCGACGAGAAAAGATGGTAAGCCATCCTCATGAGAGCACTCTTCCAAATGTCAGTCTTTGTTCTTCAGCCTTACTGGTGTCCAGTTTCCAAATCTGTAAAGAGGAGGCCTTGTGATGAGCTCCGGCCTCCCTTGTGCCTTGGCCATGCAGGCTCAGTGACAGTCACAGAAGGTTGGAGCAACAAGGGACTGAGACCCGAGCAGAAAGCTCTGTCCAATAGGACTCCTGGTACACACGGAAATGGTCTGTGTCTGCCCCAGCCGCTTGGTCAGTTGTGCCTAGGGAGCCTTGGAGATGTAGCTGGTGGCTGAAAAGCTGAATTTTTCCACTTTATTTAAGTTTTAGAACATCACATATGGCTGGTAGCTACTGTATTAGCACAGTGTTATTCAAATTAAGGAAGTCAAGTGGCACACTCCAGGTCACTGAGGTAGCAAAGCAGCCAAAACTAAAAGGAAGAACAGCTGATTCTGTTTACCATGTGGCCAGTTCATTGAACCGCCAACTCATGCTTGTTTTTAAATATTTAATTTTAGTTGAAAAGTTTCCGTATTTTAAACAGAATTTTTGAGTTTGTTCACGTTCTATTTTCCTGCTGCTGCTGCTGCTGCAGCTAAAACTGAGGAAGATAAGAATATGTCCTCATCTGGCTCAGTTTCCCATTACACTGCAAGTTCTTTACAAAGAGAAAAGGCTTGGGCTTACAGTTTCCGACCCTTGGTTGGTTGGTCCTCTGTCACCCTGCACAGGAGTGTGTGCTGGAACAGATCCACCCACCTCAGCTAGGAGGTAAAGGAAAGAAGGAAGGACAGGATCCTAAGGTCTCCTTTGAGGACACGCTCCCAGTGACCTCCACCCCTCCAGCAAGGCTCCACTAGTGCAAGGTGGGGAACCATACCTTTAATGCATGGGTCTCCAGGAAACACTTGAGATCCAAACCATAGCAATTCATAAGAGTCATTTATGTTCCAGAATTTGAGGAATATACTTTTTTTTTCAGTGTGGGGAATTGAACCCAGAAGATTTACACTGAGCTATATCCCTAGTCCTTTTAAATTGTGTGTGTGTGTGTGTGTGTGTGTGTGAGAGAGAGAGAGAGAGAGAGAGAGATTGAGAGAGAGTGAGTGAGTGACAGGATCTCACGTAAGTTCCCAGTCTGAGCTTGAACATGTGATCATCTTGCCTCAGCCTCCCACAGTATTGGGAGTATTGGGATTACAAGCATGTGCCACCTTTCCCAGCTGAGAATGTACTCTTCTTAAAGCTGCATTCATTTACAGTGGAGTGAGGGAAGGCTGTGTGTACATCCTGCCTCCATGGCAGTGTGGCCTTGAGAAAGTTTCTCAACCTCTTTGTGACTAGATTTCCTCACAGGTAAAATGAAAATACTGATAGTATGTAACCCATAAAGTGGTTGTCTTCAGAAGAGGAGAAGAATCACAGACACAAAGTGCCATATGTATATTGAGGCAAAAATCGGAGTTATCTACAAGCTGAGGAGCGGAAGCCATCCAGAAGCTAACTGGTGGCCTGCGGGTTTCCCTAAAGTCCTCTGAGGGAGGGAGCATGGCCCAGCTGAAGCCTCCTGAACTATGAGAGCATCCCAACCACTTGGTGGTAAAATGCTACAGCGCCTTGGTAAATTACTGTGGAGGTGCTCCTGACACTTCCTGATCCATACAGTGTTAGGGTTATAACATTGTAGTGAAGTCACTACGGCAGTGCAAGAGAAGCCACCACAACTTATCAAGCATTTATTTTAAGCACTGGGGTCAGTACTTTGCAAATAATCCTTATGCTCTGTCTAGGTTACTTTTCTCTCCTTGCTGAGACAAAATAGCCAATTTCCAAAATTAAGGAAGGAAAGGTTTTTTTTAGTTTACAGTTCTTGGAGGATTCAGTCCGTAATCAGCTGGCCCCAAGGCAGCGTGGCACAGCCCAGAGGCAGTGCTTCAAGGTAGCAGAAGACGGCAAAAGCAGCAAGAGCAGAAAAAGGGGAGAGCTGTCCTCTCTGCATTATAAGCAGTCTACCAGCCCGCCAGGGTGTGTGTGGCAATCACAGAATCTCTGTGCCTTCCTTCCCTCTTGTACAGGCTTAGGATATTTACAAGCGAGGCCCCTCGTCCCCTGCTGAGTTCCTTAGTGAAATTTCTAAACTTTCAAAATTGACCCACTGTATTAACCATGACACGTTCCATTGAATAGATATGAAGGCCTGTGCTTCCAGTATTTAAGTAACTTGTTCAAGGTCACTGTCTTGAATCTTTTCTATTGTTGTAACAGAATTCCAGATAGGAGGTAACTTAGAAGTTGATTGGGCTCATGCTTTAGGAGGCTGGGAGTCCACCACTGTGATGCCAGCATCTGCTTCACTTCTTGTGAGGACAAATGAATACTCGCAGAAGAGACAAAACATGAAGAGCAACCTTGTTTATTAGCAACCTGCTCTTGTGGTAACGAATCCAGTCCTGTGAGAACTGCATTATTCCCCCTAAAGACCTGATCACTCCCTGGAAGCCTCTACCTCCCAACACCACTACGTGGCAGCCACATGGCCACTTGAGTTTCCCACAGAAAACCGTATTTCTGTTTCAGCAGTCTCACCCGGTAAGTGACAGTTCTGGATTCATGTCCCACGGGAACCTGTATAGTATACTTTCTCAGCATTCAAAGACCCTTCTGGATGTGAGCCAGGAACTGTGTTCTTCATGTACACCATTTCATCAGACCCTCAGCTCTTTGTGGTACTGTAACTCTCATTTCCCCTGATGAAACTGAGTCTTGGGAAGATGAAGTAGCATGTCCAGGGTTCTGCAACTGCCAAGATACGAAGCTCCGAGTCTCCAGTGTGCACACTCAGTTTCTGTAAGCCCTTTGGCAGTGCCCTGTAACTGGACTTTCTAGTGCCAGCTTTCTGGGCTGTAGGCATAGGTCATGGGGAAGACAGAACTGGCACCTGGGGAAATGGCCTGCCAGTTTAACCAGCAAACTTCTTGTCCAGAGCCTCGTTCCCAGCCACATCTGTCACACTTTACCATAACCTCCATGACTGTATTGTCATTGGAATGAATATGGTACACATTCAGTGAGTGTGTGTGTGTGTGTGTGTGTGTATTGAACCCAAAGCCTTTGCACTGAGCTACATCTCGAGCCCTTGTTTACATTTTATTTTGAGTTAGGGTCTCATAGAGTTGCCCAGGGTGAACTCAAGCCTGCGATCTGTGTGAGCCTTCCAGGGTGCCTCTCTGCCCAGCTATAGTGTACATTCTTGGGTACTTGCTTCCTGTCCCGGTGAGAGCCCTTGAGGCAAGGACTTCAGGGTCAAGAGCGCTTTCCAGCACGTCAGCACATTCCCCCAGAGATTCCAGACTACCTTGCATCCCTTAGAATTAGAAGGTATCGCCCTCCTCCCCTGCTTTCCCTGCTTCTTCCCCCACCCCCAAACTGGTTCTGGAAAGGTTTATTAAAACGTACTATGAGATCTCATCTTGTGTGGTCATAAATTGTATTAGTCAGCTTTTCATCACTGTGACCAAATATCTGACACAATTTAAGGGAGAAAAGATTATCTTGACTGAGGGTTTCAATGCTTCACTGGCTGGCCCCAAGGCAGAAATGGCACAGCAGAAGGCCTGGCAGAGGAGCACGGTTTGCCTTATGGTGACCTGAAACAGGGCAAGCAGGGAAGAGCCACAGGGTCTGGGAACAGGACATACTGTATCCTCCTCTTCTTTGTTTTTAACATTAGGAATGGAACCCAGCAGCACTGATCCCTGAGCTACATCCCCATCTGTATCTGTCTGTGTACGTACATATGTAACAGTGTTTTGCTAACTGCCCAGTTAGGACTCAAACTTGCAATCACCCTACCTCACCCTCCCTCAGTGCTGGGATGACAGGCATGTGTCACCTCACCCAGCTAGGACATATCCTTCAAAGACACGTGCCTGGTTACCTCCTTCCTCCACCTGGGCTCCAGCTCTTAAGGTCATTTAGCCATGAACTCATTGGTGGGTTTCACATGCTTGATACCATCGTGATCCTGTTGCTTTCCAAAAGCCCCACCTCATGATTAGATCTAATCATGACATAAATCTGAACATAGGAGGAAATGGCTTGATATGTTCACTTTTACATAACATCCTAGCGGCCCACCTGTCCCAACAAACCGAGTAATACTGTTTAAAAGCCTCTCAAATGAATGGTATTCTAACTGGTGAGGGTTAGGATTGTCAGCAACCACATTTGCTGTTGCTTTGAGGACTGTAGAAAACCCAGGAAGAAGGAACAGCAAGCCAGATGAATGGAAAACTAAGCAAAAGAAAAACCTCTTAGAGCGTATGTTCCATGGGGTTTGAATCTTTCAAAGGTGAGCCTTATAATGTTAATCATTTAAATAAGTATATTGGAATCTCTAATTGGCCTTAGTATTTAGGTTTTCAGTCTTTAATGTTGTGAGTAAAACTCATTTTATAAAAATCTCTAGATTCTGCTAATTGCATTAGTAAAGGTTTATTGTTTTCTATAAAATGATTTAATGACTTTATTAGATTTATTCATTTAAAAAACTATTATATTCATAATTCTTTATCAAAATTCCTTTAATGATCAATCGTTTATATAATGTCAAGGACGTGGTTAAAAGATGCTTATTGTTTTTCTATGGAACACAGTGGCTAAGTGGGTATTTTTGTTTGGTTTGGTTTTTTTGCTATTCAATACTGGCCATCAAACCCAGTTCTTCATACAAACTAAGGGAATGGTTTTCCACTGAGATACACTCCAAGCCTCAGGGCAGTATTTTTGAACCCTTGAAAAATGGTTACAAAGAATCCAATCCAGTTTTCCCACAGATGCATAGATGTGACAGTGCATTCCCACCCAGGGCTTTTGGAAATCAAACCCTTACTCCTAAAGGACATTCCTGTGGTTATCAAAGAGGATTCCTTCAGATTTTTGGGACCTTTCTAGAAGAGCTACCCTATACTCCTTTCCCAGCACATATCCATCCATATGCGGTCACATCTTTCTATTTTTGGTGCTGGGAATGGTACCCTGGGCGTTGGGCATGCTAGGGAAGCACTTTACCACTGAGCCCCAGCCTCTTCCTGAAATTTAATCAGAGCAGCACTGCAACAGTGAATGCATAGGCACATAAAAAGATTCGGTTGTCTTTTTTTCAAGCCAGACAATAAAAAGATTTGCAAGGTTGTAAATCAGTGCAGCTCTTCTCACTCAGTGTCTATTTCATTTTGGAAAATATTGTTGTCAGAAAAGCATAGTGTTAACATGTAATGACTGCAGTTTTAAGCTCTCAGTTATAACTTCTAATTTGCTAAGTATTGATAAATACAGCTCCTGTAAGCAGGAGCTTTCAGAGACCCATAGTAATTTTGGGTTGTGGAGGGGTACTGAGACCAAACTGCTGTCCCTCTCTTTTTTCTGGAGGAGTTTGTGCTCCCAGCTGAGCAGTTTTCTGGGCTCAGCATCTAGGGATTCAATTATTCATCACTCTTTTCTTGTTTGTTCAGTTTCTACAGGGCTTAACTTTCAGTTATTTCTTACTTAGGTAGAAAGAGCCACCTCTCTGCCATCTTGAACATTTAAAAATCTGTTTCCCTATTGCCATTTACAGAGTTTATCTGTTCAAGCTTTTAGAGAATGGGGTCTTTGTTTAAATCAGTTTTTGGTGTGTGTGGTGTTGAGGATGGAGCCCAAACCCATTACATACCAGCTGAGTGCTCTAGCATCCTCAGCTCCAGAATGGGGTCTCTGGTGAGTAGGGTTGCTTTTGCCCTTCCTGTCTTCTTGCCAGCTCCTGTACCCTGCTCTGGGCTTCAGCATCTATGTTAGTTAGCTTTCCATTGCTGTGATAAAATACCTGAGATAAACAGCTTGTAAGTAGGAAAGTTTTATCTTAAATATAGCTCTGTGGTTTCTAAACCTGTGGGGAGGCAGCAGAACATTTTGGTAGGGTGTTGTGGTGGTGCAGGAGTGCTTACTTTATCAGGCTCAGAAATAGAGGATGGGTTTTGGAGACAAAGTTTACCCTTCAAGGCCACACCTTGGGGTCCTCCTTTCTCCAGCTGGGCCCCCTACCTCATACTTCCCACTGCTTCCTGAACCCATAGAATTATAGACTTAGCAATGGATGAATGCTTTGCTGAGGATAGAGCCCTCATGATCCAGTCACCCCCTGACACCACACTTCTGAATGCTGCTCACTTGGGGAGCTTGTGGGTGACATTTCAGGTCAAACCATCACTGGGCCCTCAGAAACTTCCCTGGATGGTCAGGCTTGACTGTAGTGATTGACACAGGGTACCCAGGTTTACTTACTAATAATTATAGGGGTGTTCATGAGCCCTTACTGTGTGCCCACCACTGCGCTCAGCTTTATCCCACCATCCAGTAAGCACCCCCACATCCTCTGAATACCCTCTGAATACCCCTGTGGGGTAGGTACCATTGTCCCCATTTTACAGACAAGAATACCAAGCCTGCAGGAGGTCAAGGATCTGCCTTATTTCACATTGCTAAGAAGTGGCAGGCATAGCTTTGAATCCCCCATAGGCAGTCAGGCTCCTACATGTAGATAACCACAAATTCCTGTCGCTGAAAGGGATGTTTTATCAGATGTGACGTTTCTCTGATGTGCCAAGATCATGCTGACCTCCCTTGACCACTGTTAGTTTCTTTTTGATTTTTCCTTTTTCTGCATTTGGAGCACATGTATTTGATCTGCAGTTCCTAATATGCAACACAGTTCACAAAGCTCCTAAGTGTCTTCAGGTCCTTTAGAAAGAAACCAAAAGCGTCAGGAATAAGACATCATCTCACCATGGTGGGGCAGTTCTGTGGAGCTGGTCATTCATGTAGCAGAGTTGAGAGTCCAGGCAGAGGAAAAGCAGGTCCTGCTAGCTGCAAGACAGGGCATTAAACACTCCTGACATGTTCCTAACAGCATTGATAACAGCCGTGGGGTTGGGATGTCTTCCACAGCTCGGAGAAGAAGTTCTGCTCTGGCACTGGATGGCCTTCGTTTTCTGAGGCTCACGGTGCCTTGGGCTCAGATGAAAGTCACTCAGGGATCCTGAGACGTCTGGACACCTCGTCAGGGTCTGCTCGCACAGAGGTCATCTGCAAGCAGGTGGTGTATTTTGCTTTAGTTTGTTCTCTTGGGTGCTGCACTGAGTGCCATGGTGGGGGGAATCACCTGTCCTTGGCAGAGCTGCTGGTTTCCTTGAGGCATTTTGTCCTTGAAGCACATCAGACTTCTACTAGTGCCCATATCGATCGCTCTCTGCCATTTTTTAGCTGCTGCAGATAAAAAGCTGGCTGGGCCACTTTCTGAACTCTTTCCTGGTTCTCCTCTTCCCCAGAGGTGGAACAGGTTAGAGTCTGAAGCAGAGGAAGGGGCTGCCCCTGCACATACCTTGGAGTGGGGATAGGCAACAGGAAGGCTGTGTGTAGTTGCAGCTTCTGTCTTCTTCCCCACTGTGCACCATGTCACCCTCAGCAAGGTCACCCTGAGCAAGGGTGATGCTCAGGTGACAACAGCACCTGGCTCCTTCTGTGAGCCTTATGGCAGGGAGCAGGTTAAATCCTGACAGTGATTTCATTTTGATATCTTTGGGTCCTCACATTTTCTAATGCATTAGAGGCAAGCAGCTGAAGTCTCATGATTTTTCTTTTAAGAAAAAGAAGAATCACAGTCTAAAACATTGTTGAGTACTTGTTTGGGAATGGTGTTATGTTTTAGTTGCATTGTGCCAATTAATCACTGTAATAGCTGTATTATGTATCATCTCACTTTATAGATGAGTAAATCAAGGCTGAAACTTAATACTTCGTTGATTTTCTCACTGGGAAAGGAGGAATATTCATCACTACTGTGTTCTGTTTCTTAATTAAATTCTGGTACATAAAGACTGTTTTCCTGACATAGATGTTAAACTCTGGAGTGGAGTGGCTGTGCAGGGTCTGTCTGTTTTTGTGAAGGTCTCTTCCTGCCAAGACTGACAGAGGCTTCTCTCCTGCAGTGTGAAGCTCATCTTGGCCATGTGTTTCCTGATGGCCCCGGGCCTAGTGGTCAGAGATTTTGTATCAACAGCGTGGCCCTGAAGTTCAAACCAAGCAAACTCTGACCTTTTCCAGGAGCCTCCCAGGCCTCTCCATGCATACCGTTGATTTTCATAATTCAAATGGATGACTTCTGTTTGTTGCTTGCTGCTGGCTCTAACCAAGTCACAACCTCTCTCTTTACATGTCGTCCAGCCCGACTCCTGCTTGGACCCTGGGGTTTCACAGCGGGGCAGCCATTTCTGTCTGCCTTCTGGAGGTGTGTGGGGTGATGAGAGGGTGGGTGCTCTCGTGGGACATCAGGCTGACGGCTAGGAGGCAGACGGTTCCTACAGGTGACCCTGAGTTTGCCATTGCAGTTCAGTCCTGCAGGAACACAGAGGTGCCGGGAGCCCTGAGCTGCCCCAGCATTGCAGAGTAGGTGTGGGGTGGAGCTGTGCTTTGCAAAGCATACTGTGATGATGAGATGTGTGATATATTTGGCAATCTTTTTAATGTCTCAGACATTCTACTCTCAGCCCTGCTGCCCCCAGGTCAGCCTCAAGGTGCCTGTGTTAGATCTTGTTGATTACAATGAGCCATTCACCCTTAGACCTTCTGGAAACAAATTTTAAAATGTTCAAATAAAATATTTACTGAAATCAGTGTTTGCTCTTTTATAAACCTGACTGCAAATGAAAAAAAAAAAATCAGATTGCATGATACCGGGCATCTGGTTATGCTAAGAAGCATGGCAACTTGTCTGGAATAATTTGTTATCTGTGTTATTTTTATCATTTTCTTTGGGACTTTATGGGCAGAAAGGAAACAGTTGTTTGTTTTTTCTCCTTACTGACTTGTTAAACACCTCTTGGACCCTTCTTGTGGCTTTCCTGGGAAACCCACATGCATCCTTCCTTTGTTACTGTCACGTGCTAATCCCGACTTACTTTTGGTTTCTCCCAGGATGTAACCTTAGAACGTGAATTCCATTAACCTTCCCTCATGCTCTGTGTTAATACTGCTGTGTGTGTGATATCATACATGATTGAAGCCTCCAGATTATCATCAGTATCGTGGAGATGATGTTGACTTGTATTTATTTGCCTGCTGCCTGCTGCATTTGTTCCTGCAATGTCATGTTCCCTGTGGGATTATCTTTCTTCTGTCTGAATAACGTCTTTCATGGTTTTCCTTTCGTGTTTCGTATTGATGATTTAATTTGTATTGGTGATTAGGTATTTCCTATCTCTCTTCTTTATTCCACCCCCTCTCCTCTCCTCCTGCTGCAGATGGAGCCCTGGGCCTCATGCATACTAAACAAGTGCTGTTCCACTGAGCCACAACCTTACCCTCTTTTCATTTTTGGAGAATATTTTACCTGGGCATATAATTTAGAGTTTTAGGATTTATTTCCCTACAGTTACCCTGTTGCCTCATCATCATCAATGAGGACTTCCTTGAATATACTTGACATTTTTTTTAATCAAAAATCAATTTCCTTGTACATGTGTATCTATTTCTAGACTCTGCTCCATTGATGTCTATTTTGTGGATTTCCCAGAGATCCAAAAAGTTACTTGCAAGAAATTGAGTTTCATAGGAGTCAGTTACAAAACAGTATAGACATTGTGGACTACAGTACCACTGAAATCACAGTCCTCCTGTGCCAGGCTACTGGTTTTATGGAGTACTAAGACAATAAAAGAATCAAGTAAAAGATGCTTGCATTAACACAAAGAATCAGTAAAAGAATCAAGAACAAGAAGCGGGGGTGGGGGTGGGGGGTGAAGAGCCCTGGGGAAAAGTTGCATGAACTCTCCTCCCATCTCCTTACCAGATAAATCTGTCGGTCTCTGCCTGTGCTGTCTTGCGTGTTGGGCCACCTCATGCTGTGGTCTGGTGCACAGCTCAGCACCTGGAGAGGGCCCCTGGCCAGCTAACTGCCCAGCACATTACTTTGGACAGGGTTTGGGAGGCAATTTTACCACACTTCATCCATCTTCTGACTCTGACAATCTTTTGCCTTCTCTTCTGCCGTGTCCCTGAGCCTCAGGGGTGTTAGCTCCTCTGATGAGGATTGCGCTCTGGGCTGTTACATTACAGCTGCCACATTGGGTGCCCAGTCCTAGAAGGGCACAGTCAAGGTGCGTGTTCCCCGTAAAGCGTGCCTGAGTCAGGTTTATGTTCACATGAGAAAGTAGGAAAGTGATTGGTGGCAGTTGTGCCACTACTGCACTAGTAGGCACATCCTGGATAGCGCGTTGATAGTGTAACATTCGCGATGTGTACTGACGTTAATAGTTCTCGGGCAGCCTGTGTAGCACCCTTTGGCTCTGAGTGCTAGGCAGTAAGGAGGAAGCGTCCCATTGGGCACAGCCTGATTTCTGTGTCCTCCAGCTAGGGCATATGGTGTTTTCAACAATAGGGACTCACCGTCCAGTTGTGGGGTGCCACCAGCCGCAGTGGTCTGTATGGTATAGCAGGCCTCGGGGAGCTCCCTGGCCAACGAATCACAGAGAGATACAGTTGCCCCCGGCACTGAGATTTTTATTGAACAACATTTTTTTCCCTACAAGGTTTTCTTTATTTAAACCTTTTAACTATAGTTTCAATACCCTCCCGCCTTTTAGAAAGTAAGCCACCTCAGTGGATTCGTAAAGCAGCTGAAATTTCCCGTGTTCTTGGTTATCCTTGGTCTAATTTTGTATCTCAGTGTTTGTAAAAGGAATGCCCCATCACAGTGGATCCTTCCTGGGCACCTGAGCTGAGGAAAGTGGCTAATAGCAGCTTCCCCAGTGGCCTACGACAAGGAGACTGCAGGAGACCAGCGCGGATGAACATCCAGAAGCATGTGCCTCATGTAATCTACTGCCAGTCCCACACTGGGCATTTGACTGTGTGGGTGCCCAAGCCCAGCCGATGTAACCAGCCTTCGAGGACACAGCCATGAGGAGGCCTCGCTTGGGAAAGATCAAGATGCTTTATGGGTCCAATTTAGGTCCAAATGAAAAATAAAAGGGCTTTCAATTTTATTGTTTTTCTGTTTTTATTTATGCTCCATTTTTTCTTTTTGTTTTGTATATAACTTACATTTCTTTTTATACTATTTTGTACTATTCTAGGGCTTTAGATTTAGGTTGAGTTTTAGATTTCCTTTTCCTGCATAAACATTTGAAGTTATAAATTCCCCAGTACTCTCTGCTTTGTCTGTACCCCTGTATTTTGACATGTATATTTTTCATTACTATATATAAATGGCAACATGTTTTCTAATATTTCATGTGAAATCTCTTTGACCCAGTAATTATTTGGAAGTGTACTAATTCAAAATATTTGGAATCTTGTTTTCTCTTTGTAATTTGTTTCTAATTTAATCTATGATCAGAGCACACTGCCTATATGATTCTAAATTTATCGAGATGGATTTATTGAGATGAATTTTATGGCCAGCAAATGTGGTCTACTCTGATAAATATACCAGCTACTCTCCTGGTTGTTTTGTTTTGTGGCCTTGGACTCACTGTATAGCCCTGGCTGATCTCAAACTCATGGTGATCCTCCTGCTTCAGCCTCCTAAGTGCTGGAATTACAGGTATGCACCACCATGCCTGGCCTGGGTGCTTTTATAAGTAATGTGTATTCCACCGTTCCTGGTAGAGGATTCTATAAATACCAATCCAAGTTGGTTGGTAATAACTCAAGACTTCTGTGTGTCTTTACTGATTTTTTTATCTAATTGTTTGATCACTTACAGAGTCAAAGTGTTAATATTTTCCAGAGTTATTTATAGAATTGTCTGTTTTTCCCTTTCACTTTGTCAAATTGTTTCATGTTTAGATGCCTACAAGTTTTGACTGTTGTATCCTTCACACTGAGATGTTTATTATTATGAAATACTGATGCAAAATTTTCTAGTGTATATCTTCTTAGTCAGATGTTCACATAACCTAACATTTGAGGGCATGCAGTTAGAGTACATTTTGTTTTGAGTCATTTTCTTTCAACTTATATGTATTTGTTGTCTTTGTTTACTGTCTACTTTTGTACACATTATAGTTGGGTTCTGTTTTATCTTATATACATATTATAGTTGTGATCCATTTTATCTTATAATCTGTTTTAACAACCTCTACCAAATTTAACTGAACTGTTTAGTTTATTAACATTTAATGTAATTATTGGTGTGGTTGCCCTTGGAACTACCATTGTTTGGGATAGATAGAAAGGTAGGGATATAGTGATATATAAGTAGGTAGATAGATAAATGGATAGATAGATAGAGAGCACTAACAGTCAAGTCAGAGATGGTGCCAAAAGAGACATTACCCATTCCTAATCGTTTTGACTTTTCATTGGTAATGAGTTATGCCCTATTTCACATAAAATACAGAAATCTCACAATTCTTTGTGAAGGCTACATGTATAATCACATTGGCAAATAAATTTTCAACAGATAAATTGGGGGGACACATTTAGACCATAGCAGATTTCAACAGATGTACCTTGATGTATGTGGGTACCTTCAGGTTTCTTCTGTGTAGTTCATCTTGTATCTGCAAGTTTTTGTCTTTCAATCAGTTGAAGATTTGAGAAACTCTCAGTTGTTATTTCTTTAAGTATTTGTGTTCTTCTCCACCCTTCTTGTATTACAGTTACACCTATATTTTACCATTTGATATTATCTAACAGCTTACTAAATGTCTGCTCGCTCGCTCTCTCTCTCTCTCTCTCTCTCTCTGTCCCCTCTTCACCTTGGGTGTTTCAGTGGATCTTTCTCTAAGTTTTCTTATTCTTTCTTCTGTCACAACCATTTAGTTTTTAGTCTACTAAATAAGTTTTCATTTCAGGAATTGTATATTTTAGTTCTGTTTCTATTTATTTCTTCTTTGCTGTTTCTATTTCTTTGTTGAGACTTGTTATTTCTCTGCTTGTATTTTTAGTCATTGAAAGCATGGCTTGTGTTATTTCCCTGAGGAGAGTTACAAAAGCAAATTCAAAATCCTTGTCTTTGAGGTTGAACATCTGGTTCATCGTGGTGCTGGACTTGACTGAATTTTTTTGTTTTTTTCATTTCATAGCGCATAGTTTTGGACTGTGTCCTGATACTATGAAGGTTAATTTGTGGAATCCTGGATTTTTATTTTCTGTAAACAGTATTTTTTCCTTTGTGTTAGCAGATCATACACTCAGCTAGACTTGAATGCACACTGTTTTTCTTGCATAAAAGCTTTCATCTGAGTTCAGACTTTTTGTGGTTGTTTCTGTCTTTAGCTGAACGACTTTGAGTCTATTCCATGATAAATAGTCCAGGGTTCAATCAGAGATGTGGGAAGACTGAATTGGAATCGTTTCTCCTTTTCCCTTGTAAGCTTCCTTTTCTCTTCTCTGGTTTTTCAGGGGGAAAAAAGGCTGCAGGATTTTCCAGGTTGCCCCTGCCATCACTGTCTGCACCATATGGGCTTCAGTCACTTAGCCGGGCGAACAGCTGGGCAGGTGCAGCTGACCCAGCCACTCCCCATCATCTCTCCCTTGCCACGGTTCAGGTTCTTCACTGCAGACCAGTGGTGATGAACCCCTTAGAGCTCTCAGTGATAACAGACAGCCTGCTGCGGCATGTATGTTGGCATATGTTGACATCATCTGCTCCTGTTTGTTCCCG